CAAACGGAGAGTAAATATAGCAGGCTAATATATGCTAATCTCACTCACCATATTAAAGAAACAAAATTACATTTATATTTAATAGGAAAAAGGGGGATTTTGAGTGAAAATAATATAACCAAAATAACTCCGTTACATGTGCATCATGTCTTTTGCGTGAATTATTATTGAGATTAATTTGCTTCCATAGTACAGAGTCGATTCTTTATTTTGGGACACAATAACTTTATTTATCGTGAACTCTCGGCTTTACAACTTTGCAGATCCTTTACATTCACATACAGCTACATTACACACTACATGAAAGGCAATATTGGAAATGGCATAATAGGGGCACTTTAAATTTATATATTGTCACCAACATATGAAATATTAAAATGTGCCACTGCTAGTTGTTGTTTTTTTTTTTTACAAATGGCAACATATGGCAAAATAGATTATGGCTCAAACCATCGACCTTAATCTTTATTCTGTACAGGCATTTCTGATGTTAAATATTAGAGAAACTCCACCATCAGTTCACAGTTGTTGAATCCACTTGAATGTGTGGTAAAATATCTTGAGCAAAAGAAAATCCAGTTGACTAAAATTACTCTACTAGAATATTTTATGAAAACATGAATTACTGAAAATAAACATAAACGTGTATTTTGTTATTACTGGTACTTATATATTGAATGAATATCATACTGTTTGTATTTGTAGGAAACACCCCTAAACCTGTGTCAGGGAAAAAGGGAGGAAACGTCACACTGACATGTAAATTTGGGGACAATAAGACTTTTTATATTGAGTTATTCAGTCTGTCAGAACATATTGATGTGTGTCAGACTGAAGAATGTAGTGGACGAGCATTTAAAGAAGGAAACTGTTCAGTCGTCATTAAGGATCTGAGATTTAGTGACGCTGGAAAATATATTTTGAGAGTCCATTACAATAATGATCAGACAGAGCTGAAGCGACAAAAGGAGTGGACGTACCAACTTCATATTCATGGTAAAGACAAAACTTATCAAACCATCAGCATCTGCTTTTTTAAATGATAAATTTGGTCCCCAATCAAAAATATGTTTATGGCCTTGATTGATTGACAGCATTATAATAATAATTAATGTCTTTCTGTTTCTCCTCAGATGAGATTACTGTGAAAACAGGCAAGCCGCTAAAGTTGCATGTTCTGTTGTCTAATGCTGATAAAGTGGAGAAAAACTCTAGTGGAGAGTGGAGGGAGGTTTGGAACAGAACTGATGGGGTTCAGAGCGATCGAATGAATGACACTAATGGAACCCTGAGCATTAAAGCGTTTACAGCCAGTGATGCTGGAACATACAGAGTTCTGGATTCAGAAGAAAAAACACTGATCACAGTGACAGTCACAATCACTGGTGAGAGAAACTCAGATATGTGGAAATATTATTTAAAAAGCATTTGGACAGCTGAAGTTTATTCATCATGATTTGAACATCACATTGATGCTGAACTGTGAGACTGACCTCTCAATATCTTCTAGAATCAGGTACAGAATCAAAGGACAAACTGGACGACACAGATAAAGGCAAAACTAACGGCACTGAACAACAGAGTAAGTGAAACAGGCGTTGAGAGCTTTACAAAATCTTCAAGCAGTGAGTTTAACAATGAACAAACTTTTTTTTTTTTAAATGTGCTCTCTTCCCATCTTCCCCTTTTCCAGCTGTAGAGAATTTGATTGTGCCAGTTGTAGTGTGTTTGGTGATTCTGGTGGTTCTGATTGTGATTTCTGTCATCATATGGCGACGTCAGCACAGAGATCACATACAGGTTCCAGTACAGGAGAATACAGAGCCCCCACAGGAACTGGAGGAACTATAATGATCTTCACTGAACGTGACTCAACTGCACAGGAGCCCTGAACACGTGATACAAATTACAACATTACTTATGTAATTTGCATTCAGTGCCAACATAATTCTGTCAACATAATTCTACAGCTATAGGAGTGTGTGATATGTATGGAAGCATATAGGTAGCGAAATTCAATTTAAAATGCAA